GGGGGGGGGGGTGGTTTTCACCACCTCTCTCCAGAATGGTTGTTGTAATTTCCCAACTGCTCTCTCTAGCTTGGTCCTTCCCCAACCCCTCCACTTTTCACAGCATGTTGCTCACGCTCTAACCTGCTGATTCAGAATTTCCCATGGGTGAGACCCAGGAATCTGCATTCCTAACAAGCACTCCAGGTGATTCTGATATACCCCAAACTAGAGAATCACCGGTTACAGGACAGAGCACATAGAATAACATAGAATGACCTTCAAGACTCTGTCCACCTTCCCCTCATCCCCTCTGCCCCCACTCTACTCAGGGCACACTTTCCTGCTTCATCTTTGTCCCCTCTCCCCTTCTCTCCCATCCCCCAGTGCGTTCTTTGTAACCTCTCTGCAAATTTATCCGGATCCTCTTCAGCTGTATGATCCTCCCACTCCTTAAGTTCCCATAATACTGCAATCTCCACTCCTCTAATGACGTGAATTCCCTTTGCCTGTGTGAGACCTAGGTGCACACGGTCTTGCCTTGCGTGCTCATTCGAGCTCTTTGAACTCAAGGAATTAAACGGCAGGCACTTCCGTGACGGAACGGGCAGCCTTCGAGAGGACACACGTCCATAACCAACTCCACTCCTCAACACCCTTTCTTGGATGATGTCCAGGTGACAAAAATTGTACTTTTTTTTGCAATGGGAGAGACTTTGGCTTCATGAGGGGCCAGGTTTTCTTCAAAAAGTCAAAACAGGGCTTCCCTGGTGGCGCAGTGGTTGAGAGTCCGCCTGCCGATGCAGGGGACACGGGTTCGTGCCCCGGTCCGGGAAGATCCCACGTGCCGCGGAGCGGCTGGGCCCGTGAGTCATGGCCGCTGAGCCTGTGCATCCGGAGCCTGTGCTCCGCAGCGGGAGAGGCCACAACAGTGAGAGGCCCGCGTACCGCAAAAAAAATGTCAAAACGAACGAACATCAACAATAACCAAACCCCAAAACAAAGGCTGTTGGTTATCCACAGAGGGTTTATTTCCACTTTAGTCCCCTGGTGGGAGAAACGGAGTGCAGAGGAGGCTTACAGAGGAGTGAAGCTTGTGATATAAAATAAACAAAATATAGTATCCTGTACATGCACTGTTCATACACATAGGAGTGTGCTTCCAGGACCCGACTGGAAAAGTGGACGCTTCCCAATTGCTCTCTTGGAATCCCTCTCAGGGCTTCTTCTTTCTCTGATGGAGAGTCCCCAGGAGAGCGAGCCCGGTGAGAAGGAAGATGATCAGCCCTGTGAGGGTCAGGGAGAGGCTGCTGGCATTGGAAGCACCAAACGCTGGAGCTGGAAGGACCCTGAGGGGGATCTGATGCCTTCCTTTTACAGATGGGGAAACTGAGGCCCAGAGAGGGAAAGTGATTTGTCAAAGGTTACACAGCCAGTTGGGGGCAGAGCTGGGGCTAGAACCCAGGACTCTGGGCTCTCCCTCTCTGCTCACTTTCACGGGCAAGTCCCTGCTTCTCTTGGCTCTGGCCCCTGGAAACTGGAGGACTGGATCCCTCTCAACATCCACGCTGGGTGTGTTCTCTGTAGAGCTGGGCAGTCTGGTGGGACTGGGTCACTCCTATGTCCTGAGCCCTCCCTCTTCTGTTTCCCTGTCCAGAGGCACAGCGGAGCATGGTGTGAGCCTTCTCTTTCTCCAAACAATCCAGTTGAGTCTCCACACCTGAGGCTGAGGCTCAGGTAGCCTTTTCAGATGACACATTTCAAGGCTGGAAGGTTGCTGCGTGCTCGTCTGGAGTGCCAGGTGTGGACACCCATGTGCTCAGCTGGTCTTCGGGAGTGGCGTGTGGGTCCAAATGATGTGCTCCGAGTGGCTGGTGGGAACGTCACGGCCTTGGGGGGCCTCCCACTGCTCTTCTCCTCCCCCCAGTCACCACTGAGCTGCCCAACTTCCCCTTTGTCCTTTGAAATTCCTTTAACGGGGAACAGAAGGGATAAGGCTTGGACGGCAAGAAGTTTTGGGAGAGAAAACCCAGGGACAAAAGTGCTACAAGGCACTACACTCGGAGAGAGGGGCCTTGGGCTGTCATCCCTGTCTCCCCAAACCTGAGGAGTTTTCTGCCAGAATGTACCCAGAGGGCAAAGCTGGGAGAATACACGGACTCAGCTCACGGCAAGGAAACATTTTCTAACAGTCATGTCGAAGCTCAGTTACGCCGAGAGTGAGAGCAGGGCCACTGGGTTTGACAAATGACTAGGAGTGAACGAGGCCCCTGGGGTGAGTACTTGGGAGAGCAGTGGGGGGTACTGGCCCCAGTCTAGCTCCCTCACTGTACTGCGGGGAGAAGGAGGCCTGGAGAGGGGAGGGGACTCGCCCAGGGCCAGCGACCCAGGCCTCCTGTGTAGGGCCTTTTCCCTGCACCACACCTGCTGCCTCTCAGGGTCCCAGGGGCTGTCTTGGGAGGGTGGGAGCAGCGTGGTCCATCCCACTGGTCACGTGAGTAACATGGAGTGTGCCGTCTTTGGGAGTGTGTGGTGCAGCCTCACTCGGGCTGGCCAGGGCAGGCGCCCCGAGGACGTCAGGCAGCTCACCGCTCCACCTGGAGCTCCCCCAGGCCCTGCGGGGAGCCTATCTGCTCCCACACCCAGTCCACGTAGTTGGAGACCTTGGTGTAGACCCCATACACCTGCTTGCTGCCACATTCTTCGGGGCCCCCCCAGGACACCAGGCCTTGGGCCACCCAGCGCTGGCTCGAGTCGTCGAGGATGACAAAGGCGCCGCCGCTGTCCCCCAGGCACGTGTCCTTGCCACCCTCGTAGTAGCCGGCACAGAACATGTTCTCTGTGACGCTGTAGTTGCCCGACCGGGACTCGTAGCTCGTCTTGCACTCGGCGTGCGGCACCACGGGTAACTTGACGTACTGCAGGACGTCTGACAAGGTCCGCGTGCCACTGCTGATGATCTCATCCACCGTCACGTTAGGATTGGAGATGCCCCAACCAGCTACCAGCCCCAGCATGTGGGGTGCCGGGCCTTCAGGCTCGGGCCGCGGCAGGCAGACGGGCATGATGTGAGGCCCCAGGGGCACGGGCTCCCGCAGCTGCACCAGAGCGATGTCGTGGTTGTAGTTCTGGATGTCGAAGTCTGGGTGGAGCACCACTTGGGCGGCCGAGCTGTTGACAGCCCCCGATTTGTCCCGCACGTCATGCAGGCCCAGGTAGACGGTGACGTGCTCCTTGGAGACCGGTGTCACTGTGTTGTCTCTGCGCTGGGAGCGCAGCACGTGGGCTGCTGTGAGGATCCAGGACTCAGAGAGCAGGGCCCCGCTCCCAAACCACTTGTCGTTGGGCACCCTTGAGGTGTCCTCCACCACGATCAGGGCCTGCCACGGGAAGAGGCCGGGCTCAGCATTCCGGCCCCCGATGATCCGCTTGACCAGGTTTGGCAGGGAGCGCGAGGGCTGGAGCAGGGCCGCTCCCAAACCACTTGTCGTTGGGCACCCTTGAGGTGTCCTCCACCACGATCAGGGCCTGCCACGGGAAGAGGCCGGGCTCAGCATTCCGGCCCCCGATGATCCGCTTGACCAGGTTTGGCAGGGAGCGCGAGGGCTGGCCACACGCTGCAAGGAGAAGGAGGGAGCGGGGACACGGGACAGAGACACATCAGGTCAGCCAGGTGGAGGACCTCTGAAAGAAATGCACGTCTCACCCACTGTAGATTATGCCTCCACGGCCCCTACTCTACATCACAGAGCCGTGCTAGCCTGGGAAAGCTGTGAGTGGGCTCATCTTTGGCCTAAGTCTTTCTAGTCTGGCCCATCTGTAGTTGGACCCTTCTGTAGCCAGGGCTGTCTATGGACCAGACCTTTTTATATGTAGGCCTTCACCATCCTGAACCATTCCAGCCAAGATCACTTGTGGCCTGGATCATCTTTAGCCAGGACTATCTCTAGCAGTGGTCACTTTGCCCCTTTCTTCCCTAGAAAGGCATCTCAGAACCCAGATGTGGTCAATGCTGTAGGTACTTAGAAAACTTCTGAAAACCACAGGTCAATGGCTTTGAGAGATGGAGGGAAATTAAAATACTGTCTAGCAGGTCACAGCAAACACTGGACTGGGAACTGAGACACCTGGGGCCTTGAACTGGCTTTTGTCTCCTCTGTCCTGTGTGATTCTGGGTAAGGAAATTTCCTTCTCTGGATTTCAATTTTTGATCTGCTAAATGAGGCAGTTGGTCAAGATGATCTCCAAGGATCCTTTAAATTCCAAATTCCTTTGATTTTTATTTCATTTGCCCTGGTCACCCCCATTTTATAGGTGAGTTGAACTCTCCAGAGGTTAAATGACTAGCCCAAGGTCACATTGCTATTAAGTTGAGTAGCAGGGGCTTAACTAGATTCTAAGATGAATGTCTTGTCCTTGTATCCCACAGTGCCTCATTACATATAAAGAACCTTTTCTTCTCTGGACTAAAGGACACATGATGTGAAGGGATGCCCAGGTTATCCAAAGGGAAAGGTGGCATAATCTACAAGCAATGATGCATAGGCTCTGCTCTACCCATCATTGCACCTGGGAACCCCGTAGTACCTTCAGGGAAAGAAGAAAGGTCTGATCAAACTTCGTTCTACCGAGTTGTACCCCGAGCATGCACATGCACCACCAGCCTCCTGTAGCCAAACGCCTTTGGCCCATGAGCAGAGGGTCTTCAGAACCAGCCCCCCCCCCCAGCTGCCTAAGAACAAGCTCACAAGGGCCCCTCCAAGCAGGGTGCTTGGGTCTGGGGGCTAAGCCTGGTATGAGCGTGGTTGCAAATTGCCAGGCTACACCCCTTGGCCTACAATACTTTCAGCAGTCCTTTAAAGACCAAGGAGCATTTGAGTCTTCTTGGCAACTCTGAGAGGTCAGGCTTCCAGCAACCTAATGCTTTTCAGATGCTCTTCTTCTGGATGCCAAATGCTTCTTACGTGATCCCGAGGCACCCTGCTGTTCACCCCAGGCCAGACGTGAGGTGGTTTTTGCTAATTGTCTGTGGCAGGCCTTTCAGAGCTGAAGGCCAGACTCCCAATTATAAGCAGCAGCCTACAAAGTGACTTCTCCAGGCAGGCCTGTGACTGGCCCTGCAGAACAGCTCATTGAGTGCTCATAGGCCCTCATCTGGTGAGGGACACGTCTGTGGCTCAGTCCACGGTCACAGCAAGGCCAGCACTGAATGGTGCCTTTTTCCCACGAAGGTGCCAGTGGCATACTCCAGGTCACAGAGTGTCTGAGCCGGGGAAGCTTGGAGAACAGCTAACTTACAGATGGAAAACTTGAGGTTCAAAGAAGGCAAGTGACATACTCCAAGTTATTAGTGGCAGAGCCAGAAATGGAGCCTGTTTCTTTGGACTCTGGCTTCTTTTTTTCCCACTAAATCTGTTTTTCTTCTTGATATGCTCTTGTCCTTTCAGGAGGTTGAATGATGCAGCAAGCCTTTGAGAGTGCCCATTGAAATGGGGCCATTCTTTTAGGCTGCTACCATTCTCCATCCAGTCTTTCCTGAGGCAAAGGATTCACCTTGAAATACCAGAGCTGTGTTGAAGTCAGATTTGGGCTCTAGAAGACTGGAGGTACTGAGGAAGCGCCCTAAAAACAGAAATGTGATATTCGAGAATTCTGGGTTCATGAGGATGGCAGAGTCAAGAATGGCTCAGCATTGCTGGTGTTGACATCAAAAGTCTTGAGTCCATCTTCCAGTTCTGCCTCTAACTTTCTGTAGGTAACCCTGGATGAATCGTTACACCTCCCTGATCCTTAGTTTTCTCATGTGTCAAATAAGGGGCAAATAATATTTTCTTAACAGTTTCCTTGGAAAGGTGGGATATTATGATGCCAGATGAAATGGCTTTCTCCATTCTGGCTTGCCTTTGGGTTCAATCTTGGTGTTTTAGTGGGGGAGAATTTAGAATTCTCTGGCCTGGTTCAATGATACACAATGTTCTGCTTGATACCAGGTGTTAAAAGAATTTCATGACTCATTGTATCCAAAATGCTTTGTATGAATCTAGAGGACGATGACCATTAAGAGTCATAGAATGTCAGGGATCACCTGGTACTGCTCCTTCACTTCTGAGGTACGAAATCCTAGCCCCAGAGAGGTGAGGTTACCTACCAAAGCTTGCAATTAGGAAAAGACAACAGCAGGACCAAGACCCGGGCCCATGACTCCCAGCTCAGTGCCTCCTCCCCTTCTAGACACCGCAACATGGCTGCCTGGGATGGAATCTACCTGCAGTGCCGTCTTCTTTGGCCCACCTAGTATTTTAGCAAAATGGGGGTCTGGCCTCCAGTTTGCCACAGCTCCACCATTCCCCATCTTCTCTGAGGCTTCTCCAGCCGTGGCCCTTGGGTGTGCTCCTGGCTAAGCCTAACTGAGATGATGGGGGTCAGCAGCGTGTGGATGGGTTGGCCTTTCCCCTGTTTCAGCTCCTCACGAATTCTTTGCGTTCTTTCTTAGACTTAAAGCCCTCTTAAGTGAAGTCTTCCTAACCAGTCCCCATCCCTTTACTCCCAGACAACTACATGCAGGAATTTCCTCCTTCTCTGGGAACTCGTAGCAGCTGTGATGGCCAGGGACATTTCCTATTACCACAACGTTCTTTGTTCATTTTAAAGTGGGGTCAGTAGACAGGCTTGGGGGAGGTAGCAGTCACTAAGACTTGAACGCATTGCTCTTTGGAAGACCTTGTGCTCTGTCCTATGGTCATTTGGTATTTGTCTGACTTCCACCTCCTCTGAAACACAGTGAGTGCTTGAGGACGAGGTGTCTACTTTCTCACTTTTTCTGGTGCACAGCCAGTGCAAACACCAACTGTGTGGGATGAAAAACCTGGTGGGAAGGGTGCAGAACTGCAGAGAGAAGAGGCAAGAAGGCTCCTGGTGTGACAGAACAGGTTGAACATAGAGGCTGGTTGGTTTGAGAAGATGTGAGGCTAGGCTTTTCTGACCTTTGCCCTTCTGACGTTATCTCTTAAAAATCAATCGAAGCATCATGACCTCCCCACCCCTTACTCCATCAACAGCCAGAGCACCTGCGGCCCGAGGGCCTGGCATGGGAGACCTGGAGGCAGAGAACTTGAGGGTGAGGTACCTGGCAGGCAGGTGGGCTGGCTTCTCCCCAGGACTTCATTCATCCAGACTCCTTGGGCAGAACACGTATATACATCTGGGAGAGGGAGAAAAGGTTGAAGAAGGAGAACATAGGTGATTTATAGCACATGGAAAATAGATCCGGGTTCTTAACTCCTCTGCTGTGGATCATTGCAAGCCTTCCAATGCCTTTCTGATGCTGTTCTCTCTGAACCAGTCCTGTCTGCAACTTGAAACATCTTTCTAAACTGGGAATCGTTTCATCTCTGCTCAAAATCACAATAGCTCCCCACTGGCCTCAAAAATAAACAGGATGCTCTTCAGTATGGTGTCCAAGGCTCTGAGCAATCTGACTCCTGCCTGTCTGGGCCCCGCCCAGCCCCTGGGAGGCACCTCTCATCATTAGTCACACAGCTCTCTGTGGCGCACTTCCCCTGCCCCCGCTTCTCCACTTAACAAACCCTTTCATAAACCACACTTGTGCCCACCATCTCATGAGGCTTACGCTAGCTCTGTGAGCGCTATCACTATTCCCTTTCTGGAAGGAGGACTTGGAGGCTTTGAGAAATTAGGAGAATTTTCTTAGTGCTAGTCTGTGGTGGAAGCAGAACTGACTGGCCTTCACATCTCCTTCAGGGTTCCTTCTCTGCCAGAGGCTGTATGTCTGTGTGGGTACGGGGATGTCATGCAGCTTAACTCGGGGTGCAGGCCTGAGGCAGGGAGAGGTGAGGCATGTCTCCAAGGGTTCCTCTTCCCAATTCCTCCCAAACTGTGGCCAAGAGACTGGCTGTTTCAGCCCCCAGCCTAACCCTGAGACCCAGAGCGTGTGAGGACGGAGTGCGCTGGTTTAGCATGGAAGGCTCACCTGTGATACTGTGCAGCATCTTGTAGTAGGGCTGCTGACAGGAGTATCTGATCTCAGATTTGTATGTGGTAAGGTTGTTTCTGGTGGAAAATGTGACCAGTCCGTTTTCCAGCTCTGCCGGGGCTCCACAGTCCACAACTGAGAGAGAAGAGAGTGAGACCCCTCAATTCCCCCTTCCTCTTCTTCTTGGGGCCATCTGGTGCGTGTCTCATACGATGTGCAGCTTGTACACTGCACACAACTCCAGAGAGCAACGTTATAGTCTATGCACGTGGTGGCCCTGCGTTTGGGGTGTCTCCCATCTATGACTACTGTGTGGTCAACTCACCTGGCCTGGTGTCAATTCCAGGGCAGGGGCAGGTCTGCTGAGATTCAAGTCGATCCCAGTCTTCTCCCCACCAGGGCCCTTTCCTTGACTTCCAGTTCTATTGTGCAATCCTCTTATCCTCTTCTGTCCAAGCATGAAGCCCATGTCTCAGTGAGAAAATTCTGGCTCACATGAACCAAAGAACCTTCAGTTCTTCCAGACCCAACCACATGCTGGGTAAGAGCAGTTATTGTGCTCACTTTGGAGCTTGGCATAAAAAGGTACAAACAAAAAGAAACCCAGCTCCTGCATGAGTACACAGCCGCTCCCTGCTGGCTCTCTGCAGGCACAGAAGGCAGAAGGGGGGTCAGGAGGGACCAACTTTTAGTCTTCACCTACTCATTTTCTCTGGTTGTTGGTGGCTGGACGTTGGGGCTGGCTGTAGGGCAAGACCAAAGATGCCTGCTCCTCAGAGGTGATCTTAGGAGAGCTTGCCAGTCCAGCCAAGTCTTAGGGGAGGTGCCAGCACGAGTGTGCCAGGACCCAGGTCAGGGGCTGAGGACCCAATTTGTCAATGTCTCTTCAGGGGCCTTTGTTAGAAGATGGTGCTCATTTCTAAGGAAATCCTAATCTTAGTTCAAACAGCCTCTGCCAGATTTGAAGAATCCCAGAGGACTCAGAACTTCGCAGGTGGAAAGGAACCTGAAGTCAGGCAACCTAGAACATCATCTTTACTTACAGATGAGCCCAGGGGGGATACTTGACTGGTCTAAGGTCACATAGTGAGTTACAGTCAGAGAACCAGACCTGACCTTAAACTCAGTGTGTTTTTAAGTAAACCAGACTCACGGTTCTCAGGATCTGTTTTCTAGTGAAAACGGCCTGTAATCAATATTAGCTGGGTAATGGTGGACATTAGCTGTGCATCTTCTGACAATTTCAGAGGATCATATTCTAAAGCCAGAGTTTCCCTCCTCCTGAATTTCACCTGGTCACCTCGGGAAACAGAGATAGGGGCAATTTAGCCCTGAGACGCTATTCAGAAATTGTGATTTTTAACTTTAGGACTCCAGATTTATATTTTTGATTGAACAGAGAGTTATCTAACTGAAAATACAGACGGTTCTAAGACCCTTCAGGGTGGACGAGAGGGATGAAGCATGGGAGTAAAAGCAGGTAGGTACCGCCTATCTACAAGGAAGGCAGACGCCAAGAGAACTGGTTCGTGTTGTTTCCTGGCCTCCAATCCCCCTGGACAAATCGCCCCCATTTGTTTTGATCTCCCAAAGGTAGAGACACGCTTCTACTCTGAGGAGAAAGCATGTAAGGGTCAGCACTATGATAACAAGAGGCAATAATATTTACTATCTAAAGCTATAAACAATTTTAAAAGAATTTTCCTGCAGAGTCTCTAAGCAGATTTTTCTTCCTTTTTTAGGAAATACCATTGATTAGTGCCTGGATCTTTGTATTACTCTTGAGTCCCTTAACTTCGGTCTAGCAATTTATTTTGCCCAAATTATCCTCAAGACCTAATACCTAGTTCTGGGTGGAGGATTTCAGGTCAGTCGTAGACATGGCTAGGTGGTCAGGCTGTTGAGAGCCTGTACGCAGCCAGCACTGGTGCAGAGAGATTGTCTGGACGGAGAGCCTGCTTTCACTTTACTCCAGAGAAGTAACTTTGCCCACTGATGAAGCTGGTTTTACAACCAGACACAGGGGGTGACAGATAGTGGAAAATAGAGGGTCAGTTCAGCTTGGGTATAGTGAGTGGGGAAGAGATGAACTTTCTCCCCAAGTCTACACTGGCAGGCAAAGAGCCATGTGTCTCTGGGACTTAGAGACAGCTTCCTGTTCGGAAGGCCCTTTGAGTTCTGCCTGCCACAATCCAAGATGCTAGATCCAGACCCTGCTTCCTCAGTTAGTCCATCTTCTTTGCTTGGGAAAGGGTCTCATAATCTTCTCTAAAGTGTGTCTGGCCACTTCTACACTCTGGGATCAAAATGCTCTTTCTTTCCCCTTTCCATTGGCCTCCCATTCTCATCAGTCTCTGGGCTGGGTTGTGCCACCCACACCCTGTCTCCACTGTCACTCTTCCTGACATTTACTTTCCTTCAGACATGTCTTTCTTGACCTGCCGCCCTGAGGATACACTGACACAGTCTTGGGGCTTCCTAGGGAACCACACACAATTAGCTCACCTGGCCCTCAGGTCCCAGGGATGCCCCTGACCTGCCCCACCCCACTTTCATCTTCGTCCCTCCTGCGGTGCCCTTGCATTCCAGCGTCACACACCCCTCACTGTGCTGCTGCTTTCCC